CATGCTAGTTGTATCTGACAAACTGGTTGAGAAGCTTAGTTGTTTAGAGCATTGTCCTGGTATGCCAAGGTTGCAGGTTTGATGCCTACTCAGGGTACATACAAGAATCAACCAATGAACGCATAAATAAGTAGAACAACAAATCTTTCTCTCTCTCTCATCAATAAATAAAAAATAAAAACCATTCAAAAACAAGGAATCTACTTCAGCTTTGCAAGTAGACATTTTCCCTCTCGTTAGGGAACAAATCATTTCATATATATAATTATACAATATTTCACAATAATCTATGTGAAGCACTGAAAACAGAAATATGCAATCTTCAAATAACTTTCCACTCACCATCTCTCTTTACTCTGCTCTTACTTACACCTCTCCACTTTTTAAAGTCGTTGTCCAAAAAGCCTTCTCAGTTGCTTTAGGGCATACATGTATCTTTCTTATGAGAAACCTACTGTGATTAGGGTCTGAACATGTAGCTCGGCCTTTATTTGCTCTCTAATCACTACATTTGCTATTTTTTAAATATTTTTTAAATCATCACCTAAGGACATGTTTATTATTTGAGAAATATAGAGAAACATTAATCGGTTGCTTCCCACATGCACCACAACCAGGGATCAAACCTGTAACCCAAGCATCAAACCTGCAACCCAGGCATGTGCCCTGACTGGGAGTTGAACTCCAACCTTTTGGTGTAGGATGATGCTCCAACCAACTGAGCCATCTGGCCAAGGCTACGTTTGCTACTTTATTTTGTCTCTTCACCCAAATTGAAAGCAGAAATCATGGTTGATTCTAATATTGTATCCTTGCAAAGGCTAAGGCCAGACCAATGACAAGTTCATGTCCTCTTGCTCTATCATCATAATCCAATAATTCACCTAGCTTTTCTAGGTTAAAATGTTTCCTTAGAGTCACATGTTGATCACCTCTCCAGGAACTCTCCCTTGCCCTGGAGAGTTCAACAGAATGGATTAGTACATAGACTAGTCATTTTCTAAATCATACAAACCCTTATATATGTTAACTATTATTGGATTCATACAAATATCAGTCATATTTCCAGATGTGGAAATGTTTTATGAATTGGTCAAAGATGGCCTCTGTATATTGTCCCCAAGCTGATTATTTCTTATCTGAAGACTAAAACCCATTAGCTTAAAAGCCCACTGGCAGAAAATTCAAATTTTAAAACTTTAAAAATAGCTCATATGACAGATATATGAAAAATGCTTAATCCACTAGATATAGGAGAAATGGCAAATAAAAACCATAATGCGATAGTGCCTAACACTTGTCATAATGTCTATTATCAATAAGGTAAGAAATAGCAACTGCTGAAGAAGATATGGAGAAAAGGGACTGCTTGTGGAATGTAAATTGGTAGAATTCCTATGGAAAGCAGGCTGAAGATTCCTTTAAAAATTAAGAATAGAGCTGCCACATGCTCCAGTAATCCCCTCCCTGGGCATCTACTTGAAAAACTTGAAAACATTTCTTCATAAAGATATATGTACCTCTATGTTCATTGAAACATTATACATTGCAGCCAAGACATAGAAACAACCTAAGTGTTCCCTGATGGATGATTAGAAAAAGAAGATGTGGTTACATGTATACAATGGAATACTACTCATTCATAAATAAGGATGCAATACTTCTGTTTGCAACAACATGGATAGGTCTTGAGAGTATTAAACTCAGCAAAATAAGACATGGAAAATGACAAGAACCATACAATTTCTCTCACTCACATGTGATATAAAACAGAAAGCAACAGAACCTCCTCTCAAGATGGGAGTAGGTAAATGCTATTCTTGCCTCTTCCTTCCAAGGCCACATCAAAAGTACAAGCAAATTATGGAATAGCCACCCTTGACAACCACCTGAAGACTAGGTGAACAGGACTCCTATCTAAGGATTTAAAGAAACCATGTCAAGGCTAGTAGAAGGAACAGAGATGTCAGATGGGCTGGTCTCATTCCCATCTGTGACAGTTAAGAATTAGCAAGAATATCTCATCTGCAGAAGAATTTTCTGAAGAGTGAGGGTCCCAGACTCACACTGGACTCCCCAGCAGAGAGCACTATGCTGGGAAGAGAATTCCTTACCGTACTTGGCTATTAAATTCAGCAAGGATTTCATGCAGGTGAGATGGAGGGCTTCTGTAGACCCAGGCAACATTTTAGGGCCCAAGAATAGACCGACTTAGTCACAAACACTAGCCTTAAGCTCCGAGAAGGGACAGCAGCTCGAAAAGTGCTAGGGACATATGGGGAGGAAATGAATTGTCTGGTTTCAGGGCAAGTATTAGAGGGCATCTCTTTCCAGAAATAAAGTGCCAACAGAAGCCACTGTCTCATTATTGAGCCCTCTCCCAACCCAGACTGCAGGTGCAGGTAGTTGCCATGTCTAAATATCCATTAACAAGGCTAACCACTCTTATCCCACCTTGTTGATTCTCTGAGACCAGTCCCAGCTAATTCACAAACCTAGCCTTAACCTGTCTTTGAGGCTAATCCACACAAGCATGCACTGTGAACTTTCCTAAAATTTCTCAAAGGTCTACAAACTGCAAACAAACAGTGGCTTGTCTCAGCATTCCTCTTGCTAAGTGGCTCCAAGCCCAGCACTAATGCAACTACCCTCAATTCATAGCGTAACCACTCCAAGGCATAGCTGAACTGGGCCTGCACCAGACCCTCTGCCTATAGTCCCCAGAACCAACACATCTGGTGGCTGGCTTCAGAACACAAAAGAACACCATATAATTAGCATCACAAATGACACACACAAAGAGTAAACTTGGCAGGCACCAGAGCCTCATTAAAACAAATCCCACTCTGTGTGGTCAGCCCCCTCACAACAGTGTTCCATAGTAGTCATAGCCAGTTCTCATAGCCTATAAACCTGAGGGTCAATCTCACCCACTTATGTACCATCAGCAACCAGGGCTCTACAACTCAAACAAGAAACACCCCTGGAGTACCCAGGTCAGGTTAATAGGGAGACTGTTCTACTTGACCCAAATGTATAACTACTACATAAGACCACTCTACCAAGCCCAGGACACATAGCAGCTCTACCTAATACAGAAGCACAAACACAGGGAGGCTGCCAAAATGAGGAGGCAAAGAAACATGTCCCAAATGAAAGAATAGAAAAAAAAAGTCCAAGAAAAGAAATAAACAAAATGGAGACAAGCAATTTCCTAGATGCAGAGTTCAAAACACTGGTTATAAGGATGTTCAATAAACTTAGGGGATGAGTAGATGAACTTAGTAAGAACTTCAACAAAGAGGTAAAAAACATAAAAACAGAACTAGGAAACATAAAAAAAACATAAAAATAGAAATGAAGAATACATTAACTGAAATAAAGAATACATTACCAAGACTCAACGGTGGAGTTGATGCATAAAGTTAGAGCAGAGGATCAAATCAGAGATTTGGAAGATTAGAAAGCAAAAAAATACCTAGTCAGAACAGCAAAAAGAAAAAAAATCCAAAAAATGAGGATATTATAAGGAGCCTCTGGTACAACTTCAAGCATATAACCCTATACATCATGGGAATGCCAGAAGAAGCAGAGAGAGCAAGGAATTGAAAACCTATGTGAAAAAAATAATGATGGAAAACTTTTCTGACCTGGTGGAGGTAGTAGACATAGAAGTCTGGGAAGCACAGAGTCCCAAATAAGATGGACCCAAAAAGGCCCACACCAGTACACATCATATTCAAAATGCCAAAGGTGAAAGACAAAGAGAGAACTTTAAAAGCAGCAAGAGAATAGCAATTAGTTACCTGCAAGGGATTCCTGTAAGACTGTTAGCTGATTTCTTAAGAGAAACTCGGTAGGCCAGAAGGGATTGGCAAGAAATATTCAAAGTGATGAAAAGCAAGGACCTACAACCAAGATTACTCTAGCTGGCAAAGCTATCATTTAGAATTGAAGGACAAAGATTCTCAGACACACACATACACACACACACACACACACAGCCAAAGGAGTTCATCACCAATAACCAGTACAGTATTACATAAAATGTTAAAGGGTCTTCTTCAAGAAGAGAGGGGAAAAAAGATAAATATATGAATAATAAATTGGTAATAAATACAAATCTATCAACACTTAAATCTAAAAATGAAAATAAATGAACAAGCGGAACAGAAACAGATTCACAAATACAGAGAACATTTTGATGGTTGCCAGATGGGAGGGGTTTTGGGTGTGGTTGAAAAAGGTAAAGGAAATAAAAAGTAGAAATTTGTTGTTACAGAATAGTGACAGGGATGTAAAGTACAGCAAAGGGAATATAGTCAATAATATTATAATAACTGTGTATAGTGTCAGATGGGTACTAGATTTATTGAGGTGATCACTTAGTATGTTATATAATGATTAATCACTGTATTGTACATTTGAAATTAATATAATATTGCATGTTAACTATAATTGAAAAACTATGGTACATTTATGCAATGGAATACTACACACCAAAAAGAACGAAAGAGTTACTACCCTTCACAACAGTATGGATGGAACTTGAGAGTATTATGCTAAGTGAAATAAGCTAGGATATGATCTCACCTATAAGTGGAACTTAATCAACAAAACAAGCAAGCAAGCAAAACATAACCAGCAACATTGAAATAAAAAACTGACAGTAACCTGAAGGGAGGAGGAAGGGGGAAAACAGGGGAAGAGAAGGAGAAAGGTCATCCAGGAACATGTATAAAGGACCATGGACAAAGCCAAAGTGAGGAAGGACTGAGGGTGGGAGGTAGGGGTAGTTGGGGCAGGGGAAAGTGGTGGTGGGAAAATGGAGACAATTGTACTTGAACAACAATAAAAAAATTAAAAAAAGAAAAAGAAAATTTAAACAATTTTGTTCATATTAATTACAAAAATTAGGAAAATATGTTTCTTTCTCATTGTTTAAGAATCATGCTTGTTTTTCTCATAATAACTCTGAAGCCCAAAATATAAAACATTACCTTCTGCAAGCTCCACTCAGGCTGTTTTTTGGTTCCATCATGTCCTATTCTTATTTTATATATCTCTCCAATGTCTCTTATTTTAACCTGAATTAAATGCAAAGAAGAAAGAATTAGCAGAATGTTTTAAATTAAGCACATTAAATGTTTTCTTCCTACAAATGCTTTTTTCCCCCCTTAATACAGGAACAAAAATAAAAGTTCTCAGAGAGCTTTTTTTTTTTTTGAGTTGAAAAGTTCTCAGGGATGCTTTCAGAGTCTAGAAGTTAATCCATTGCAAGAAGCTATCAGTAGATTCCACAGATACGAAATATAAGACCAAAATATCATGAGACATGACTAAAAATATACAGGAGTCAGATGAAAGAATAGGATAAAAAACAGACATATGCTCAGTTCTCTGACTACCACACATTTCTCACTGGAAACCATGTCTTTTGAGCTGAGTTCAATGGCATAAAGATGAGTTTTAATTTTAAGAAGAAAATAAGAAATTATCATCAAAGCTAAATTCAGTGAGTTCTACAAGTTTAAGGAAAAGTACCAATGAGTCTAGAACTTCCTTTTACTCTAAAAATCTCATTTGACTCACAGGCTAAGGCAGAGAAGTTCTAAGTTCGAGGAAGAGAAACAAATTTGCCCACACAGTATATATACTTGGCTACTTTTTGATATGACCCAAGAGTATTTGTTAACCTAGGTAGCATTGTGAAAAACTGATTTTGGAATCACTTTGAGCTCAGTTAATATCCTGGCTGTTGTAATCTGAGCAGAATACGGTATTTCATATCTCTGGTCCTCTATTTCCTTATTTAGTGAATGGATAAAATATCTACTGCCTACAATTTCCTGTTCAACTAAATAGCTGTTTGTTTAACACAATAATGTAGGCACTATGCAAGGCCACTGGTATACAAAGATGAAAATTAAGGCACAGTTCTAATTTAGAGATATAATTTAGTGAGGGAGAAAGATTTATAAGATGACATTTTTCTGTATAGTAAGGTATGTCTAGGACACTGAACTGTGAGGATTAAAAACGGTAAAATGCCACCTTATTATTTAATAGCTTAAATAAAAGTGAAGCCATCAGAAGTCCTCTTTCATAACTCTTTCCATACACAGAAATTCTCTTACATGCTCACCGCCGCCACGTTTTCTCCCACAGACTGTAAAGCGAGATCAGACCTGTGGCTATTACAACACCAGGACAGGAAGGAATATGCTAGCATTGACTAGAAGGCAGCAACAGAGAGCTCTGAATCTCCCAGAGCCAACTTCTCCCCACTTTCTTATACCCAGAGCTGGTATCAGTGACAGAACTCTAACGAGCCTTTCCAGCAGACATAGTAAGAAGTTGTCCCATCGTCTGGGCCTCATTTCTCTCTGAAATATAAGCTAACTTTTATATAAACTATTTTTATTCCAATTATCTATTAACACTTAAGTGTAAACTTTCTTCTTTTACACATTCTACATTAAAAAAATAAAAGAATGACTGAACAGCCAGGCTACCAAATATATGTGACTTCATGCTTGCCTGTCTTCCGATGTGTCTGCCTGTTACTCTGAAAAATGGAACTACCATGCAACGAGCTCAGCTATGTGCCAGCCAGGGAGCAAGAACCCGACATATGTTTTCTCTTCCAATCTTCACAGTAGCCCTGTGAAGTGCAAGGCTCTTTAAAGAGTCTACTTTCAGGAATGAAGAAACTCACAAAGGTTAAGTAATTTGTTTAAGGATACACAGATGGATACGTAGCTGGGAAGTTCCAAAGTAAAATTTCCAAAGTAAAATTCAAAACCAAACTTGTTTGATTATAAATATCCCACTATCCTAAAAAATGGCTGTGTGCTCACTTCAGGACTGGAAGAAAGGAAAAAATAATGAAAGACTAATTCAGAAGTGGCAAATGATGATGGTGAAAAAGAACAAGGGAGTCAATGGCCACAGAAGAGAGAGTAGATAGGAATGAGCTGGCTAGTCCTAATTTAGGGTTTTCAGACATCGAGGGGCCCCAGTTGCACTAGGCCTTAAACCCTGGACTGGTACTGCTCAAACATCAGTATATATACAAATTACATGGGGATCTTGTTAAAATGTAGATCTAATGGGGGGGGTCTAAGAGTCTGTATGTCTAACAAGCTTCCATGTGATGCCCACGCTGTTGACCTGCAGTCCACAAGGCACTAGAATCCTAGGGGCTTTTATACTCATCCTTGACCTCTACCATTAAGGTAGCAGCTAAGAGCTGGGTACATCCCTGTTCTCACTCCACCATAAATGGGAGAAGCTAGAAGAAAACATGTGCTGATTCCATTGACCAGGAGAGTCTTCAGTAATGGTAATGTTCATACAGCACTTCCGATGTGCCAGGGACAGTGAATACCACATACATTCCCAGACATTCCTTTAACTTCACAACAAGTCTTTTTAGTAAGTATTTTATATCCCCTTTTCACTAAAAAGAAAATTAAAGATTAGTAAAGGTAAGCAAACTGTTCAAGGTCACAGAACTAATGAGTGGTCAGTCAATCTGGCTTTGAACCTGGTCTCCACAACTTAAAACCTCTGTTCTTAACCATTTACTACATTTCCTACATGTCAATAGGATTTTTAAAGGTATAAATAATTTTTCTTTTTGTCATAAGACCACTCTAAAATTTAGAAAAAAGAACAATATCACTGCCTCTATTCTATACAAAAAAATAATGCTGGCCTCTGAAAAACGAGTGATATATTCAAGGTCACACAGTGAATATACTGGAAAGTTAAGACACCAATCCAGCTCACCTGATTTGCAGTCTAGTGCCATTACTGGGACTCTCAACCTTGACTGCACTTTAGACACACCTGGGGAGCTTCTCAAAACCTCAGTGCTCAGGATGCACCATAGACAAAATAAACCAGAATCTCTGGAGGTAGAACCAAGCAACAGTAGTTTTTAAAGCTCCCTAGATGATTCCAATGTGCAATCAAGACTGAAAATCTATACTGTCCTTTCCAAGATTGGACTCTGAGTTAATTATTCCAGAGAAACATTGACAGGATTTACTACCATACAAATACATATACCATAAGATATGGTATGAATAACCATAAAACTCTGTGGGGTGGCCTAGTATTCTAACCATAACATATGTACAGTGAATTCTAAACAATCATCTTGAAATAATCTTTGGAAATGCATGTGTTCATTGAGCAAAAATCCTCAAAGTCCTCCTTCATGCCTGCATGACAGATTTTTTCACTAAAAATTAAGTGATCTCAGGATTAGAATGCCAGTCTGAAGATGTGGAAACCATGTGGGTGTAAGAGGTTGGTTGGTCCTGCAGCCTCAAATAGCCTTGGCTTCTGGGTGACTTGAGTTGGCCTCAATCATCCTATCCAGTCTTATGATCAGAAGGAATATTCTCCAGGGAGCGCAACTGATGTTTACCAGCTCTCACCCTGTGGGGGTGGGGTGAATTAGTGAAGTGGAATGTAATTGTCCTAATTAAAATCTGTCCAAAGCCCTGAGGATCTAGAAGGCAACCAGCGATCCTCAAAACAACACAGCCCACTGTTTTCTGATGCTGAATAAAGGAAATAATCAAGTGGGCATGGACAGGGTTTCAAAATACAGCCTTTGAAGATGCCAGGAAAATGATTTCACATCATACAGCTCAGCTGTGAAACATCTAAAAGTATATGCAAGGATACACACACAAAAGTATTTCTGTTATCAGAAAAATCTCTAAATCTGGTTATAATTTGAGTTGAAGTTGATGGTGTATGAGGGCAGTTTTAAACCAATGGACTAAAAATATGTCTTTAAAAAAAAGCAATTTTCTTCTACTGTATTCTTTCTTTATATAAGATGAGAAAAGATGTTTTCTTTAATGATTACAATAAACATTAGGATAACTTCTGGTAATTCTAATAGACTAGAGATTTATTTTTACACAGGACACACATACACACTCACAGCCTGTGTATTATAGAAATATTTTTGAAATGTTCAAAACAGTATATTACTGTTAATATTGTTTACCTGAAACTCATCCTCCTGTCTTGGAAGGAAGAGCTGCTCTGGGCTGTTCTTGTTAAGACTTATTGGTCCCATGACTCCTTCATCTCCATACACCCAGAGTGTAACATTGGCTCGAGTCCCTGTGTCTCCCGTCAGCACTAACACCTTCCATTCATCTTCTGACAGAAGAGTCTCGTTGCCCTGGGAAGGTCTGATTTCTTCTATGGGGGAAAAAAAGCATTAGTGGCAGATAAGCTGCAATGTCAGGCTGACAGAATCCTTTGTCACACAGAGTCCAAGGACATTAAAACAGATCAGGGAGGAGTGGGCCAGGCAGGGAAGCACTGAACTGCTACAACTCCAGAGACTTGATTTGTGTTCATAGCAAGGTTCTGGTCAAGTGAAGCTGAGCTACTGAGGAAAATTCAATTAGGTCAATAAATATCTGAAATGCCTGGCAATCTCTCACTTATCCTCAACTTCAACATGGATGCATGCTGGAATTTGCAGTCTGTGTCCATAGATTTGTAATAAAGCTGCCTGCCTGGCTTACAGGTTTTTAGACAGAACTAGTGCAATACAAACCAAGAAATAAAAGTGGAATTAAAACACATTTTCAAATGAGATGTAATAGTAGCTATTTGAGGAGAGAGAAAAGTTTTCTAAAATAGCTCTGGGGGAAAAACACCCTACTGGAAAAAGTAATGAAAGGATTTGGAACCACAGAAAGAATTTTCACAAATGCAAATTGTTTCTGAAGTGCTTAGAGCAGGTGACCTGTAGAGGTAGGAACCACAGAGCAGCAGTATGTCACAAGGTAGCCTCCATCAGATAGGAGGTACTGAACAGCCACTCCTTATTTGTAATGGACGTTTATAAAGTGAAGTTCCCAATTTACTGTTTTTTCTGCACTCCATTTTACCTGTAGTCTCATTTAGGAGATGAAATGCCGAGAGCATGTCCTAAGCTACTCTGCACTGGTTGTCTAAATTGCCCCAACAACTGCATGTTAATTCTTAACTGGTATTTCCAGGTAGAAATATATTACAGACTTAGGTGATGAGATAAATTTCCTTATATCAAATGGTTAAAGGGGAGCCAAGACCCTTTCTTACATTTAATTCTGTATATTGAAACAATAGGAAAACTCAGGGAGAACCTAGGATCTTAGTACAGCATCAGCAATGAGGACAACAAATCCAGCAAGTAGATACTTATTTTCTGTGATAATAAACACATTTTAGAATTAAAATAAAATACTATGCCAAAAAGACTACGCATTCTAAGAACTTACCTTTATTTTTTAAAGTTGCTTCCTCTCCTCTACTGTCCTATATAATTTCTATCACTATAATTGTAAGCATTTTTCTTCAATTGTAATAAAAATCACCATTTATTAAGTTTCTGCTATATGCTAGGATCTGTGTTGAATGCTTCACATTCATCTCTCACCCATGAAGTAAGTCAAATTATGTTGTCGATATTAAAATGAGAAAAAGAGATAGAGGCTAAATAATACGCCCAAATTATATATTAAGTAAATGATGAAATGTCTACCTCCGAAGCCTTGGAACTTAAGCTAGATGGGTGTTATGTGTTCACTGAAACATGGTTTAGCAGGGCACAAGATTTTATTCAGTGCTAAGCACTGTCCTAAGAACTTAACATTCATTGCCATGTCAACCTTACTCAGTCCTCACATGAGTCCTATGAGGTACTGTCCACTATAAAACAGGTGGACAAACCAGGACTCAGAAGTTAGTAACATGCTGACAGTTACACAGGCAGTACCAAAGAACTAAACTTCAAACCCAGGCGGAGTGAGTTTAAATCACATGACATTCTGGGTGTTATATCAGAGGTAGCTGACCTGGAAAAGTTCACAAATATTTTTCCAACTAAATTTTATGAGACAATTTAATTTTAAAGACTCAAATATTTCATGTGAACACCTGAGTACCCTGACTGCCATTTCTAGTCAAGTACAATCAGGAACCTGGCAAATACACTTGGAATTTCTTCAGAGCTCAGACAACAGTGTTATCTCCTCTGTTGATGAAAACTCCATAGCACATCCGCGAGTCTGTCCCAGCGCGTACTTGGTGATCAGTAGGATATTCTTTAGGATGCTAATTGCCACTTGATGTCTTATAAATATCTTATTATCTAAAAGGGCCATTTTTACTCAATTTAAGGAAACTATAATTTCCTATTATTTTCTGGGTACTCTGTTAGGTTCATTGTTCTGTAAATATTAATGGCAGAGGTTAAAAGTTTGAAAGATAAGCAATGACAGTCTCACTGTGAACACACACATTATTTAGTAGGAAAGACAGACATAGATATTTGGATTTCAAACATGCAAGCACATACATAGGAAACAAAAGAAATATGATGAAGCTCAGATGTAGCAGAGAGTAGGGAGTGAGTAACTGTGGAGGGTGGACAGGAAAGGCTCATAGAGGGAATCACAGTGCTGGATGTAGAAGAATGAATCAGATTTTTTCAGAAGGTGGAAGGGAAGGGTATTTCAGAGAGAGGGAATAACGTGGCTAGCACATACAAAGGCTTTAAGTAGCGGGCATTATGGAAGAACTACCCAAAGTGATATGGAATTGAATATGACAGAGATCATGAAAGGCATTGGGCATGTGGAAGAGAGTTAGCACACTTTTGTAAAGGCAACTGGGAACAAGTCAAAATTCTATATTATGGTGTGATACATGACCTGAGTATTAGAAAGATCAGTCTGACACAGGGGCAGCTGTATAGAGCAGGGAGAGGCTGAGGCAGGAAGGCAGGTGAATAATGTACAATGAACAAACAAACTCTGGAATGGCATCAAGACACCATGGTTACTTGGTTTTACTTGGGGGGGTTCAAATATGGATACATGCATGCATGTGTGTACATGTGTGTATTTAGCTTGTTTGATTTAATCAGCAAACATGTCGATGGCCTCTAAAACCATGTCTTTCTGCTCCAACATTTTCACAAACATAACACATTTGCGCAAGCATAACACATCATCAGGGTGCCCTCATGTTACAAAATTCATGGCTTAATATTGTATAATCTATAATGTAAAACAATGTATTAAAGTTAGTGCTGTTATCAATTAAATATGAATTCCATCTCATGCCCTGATCTTTTGGAAATAAACCAAAGTCCATTAGTCTCAGATCATAAATTTATCCATTTGAGAACCATAAAAGCAGTTGCTTTTGTTGACTAGAGGTTTAAAATATTCTAAGCTGGGAGAATATCTGATGTGAATTCTGAATTAATCATCTGAATCCTTCAGGGGCTCTGAAATAAAATATATAGTGCCTAAAATTTATTCAGATGACTCAAAAATGTTCTTCACGAGGGTGACAGAACACATTAATTAAACACCACTCAAGTTGACTCAGTCAAAATAAAATAAAATAAAGCTGAGCTACCTTTGTGCTGCTGATCTCCTGAAGCTCTGAAGAAAAAATAAAAATTACACACAGAAATAAACAACAAATTAGTTTATTCTATAGTTCATGAGTTGATCAAAGGTGAAGTCAACTAAAGGTATAAATTACCATTAGAGAGTCTGAGCATAAACATACAAGTTATATAAACTCTTGTGCAATTTTCAAGACAGTATTTAAGAAAGCTAATTTATACTAAAATGTTAAGCAAAAATTGAAAACAAATGTTATAATTTTTATGACTATTTATGACATATTTGATAGTACAGTGTCATAAAAATTATTATTATTTAACCCTAATTATTTTAAATATAAAATCATCTGGAAAAAGTAAGAAGTTAAAGTATTTTCTCTATAGGTATCAAATAAAATAAAAGTATCTATTTCTAAAATATTAACATGAATAGTCTCATTTTATTCATGAATTTGTCAGTTTCCTGATGTGTGGTGCAGTAGGCATTCATATAGAACACAGGAAGCACAAAGATAGTAGGAATAGCTAACAAATAGAAAATAAGTTTAAATAATCAAGGCTGTCCCAAGTGCTAGAATGTTGGGCTGATCCCGACAAGATAAAAACCTAAGTGCTATCAAGGTAAAGATCTAAATTTGGTTCAAAAAATCAATTACATATTTTCTGAGAAAAATATTGTGAATACAATATCCTAATGATCTTAGTATATACCAAGAGTGCAATAAAGATGCTTAAAGCATGTATTCCAAGAAAAACTATATTAACAGATATATAGGATCCACATTAAAGAAATACCATTATTCTAATTGTTCAGTTTAAATGAGAAGACAAGATTTTACTTAGAAAACCCCACTTTAAAAGAAATTTTCATGGCTTTCAGTCAGGATGGCAGCGTAGATATACATGGTACTAGCACCCTCTCACAACCACATCAGAGTTATAACTAAACTACAGAACAATCATCATTCAGAACTGCCTGAAATCTGGCTGAATGGAAGGCCTACAACTATGGATATAAAAAAGTCACATGGACACTAGTAGGAGGGGCAGAGGCCCAGAATGGGCTGGTGGTCCCTTACCCACATGTGGTGGATAAAATCAGGAGGGATGTATCAGCTGGGGAGCAGGGGTTCCAGTTGCAGTCAGGTCCCAAGTGCTGGGAAAAGAAGTGCCCATAACTTCTGGCTGTAAAAATCAGTGGGGATTGTGGCTGATGCTAGAGAGGGCTTCTGGAGTACCAGGCTGTTCCTCTAAAAGGGACCACACATGGACTTACTCAAACTCACTCCCTCTGAGCTCCAGCACTGGGGCAGTAGCTTGAAAGGAACCAGGGACATAAGGAGAGGACCTAAAGTGTCTCACACCAGGGTGAGAACTGGAGGAGCAGCTTTCCCCAAGAAAAAAGTGCTGGCAGAGGCCATTGTTTCTTTTCTGAGTCCTACGCCCCACAAAGTCAGCAGGCAGGTGCCATATAGGAGTCTCCATCAACCTGGCTCACACTGCTTCACTGGCAGCTGGTAATTACCTGAGACTGTGCCCCACCAAACTTGTAGGCCCACTCAATTCCAGCAGCTTTTCCACATGAATGGCCTATCTTGACTGATTCTCCAGACTTTCTAAAATCTCTCATACAAGGAGCATCTGACCTCAGCATGCCCTGAAACTCTCGTTAAGTGGCCCCAGGCCCAGCACCAGAGGCAGCTGACTTTAGTTCACAGTTTTACCTCACCCAGGCACCTCCAAGCCCAGCACAAGTAGCATCCATCTGCAGATTGCTTTGTAGCTC